CATTGTTGTGCTTATAATATCACAGTATATAGTACTATATTGTATGGACACCATTGATACCTATTGTATTGCCAGATTCTTGCCACACACACTTTTACATATGGTAAATTAGTTCTTGCTTTTTCTTGTTTGAGCACAAACAAGAAAAAGTTTGTTTTCTACAAACTGTAGTTTGTACAGTATGACAGCAGGAGGGTATGGAATGGTACAGTGATAACAAGCCTCCAGTCACTAGGTGGCAGCAACTCATACAATGGTTTGTACAGATACAAATATACATGTTATCAGGTTCTCAATAGTATTTCAATTCACGGGGGGTGTGTGGGTAAGGGGGCGGGAAAACATTTCTGTCCCCAAGGGGGCGCATGACAGAAAATCATAACCTAACCTTTTTTTGAAACCTCACACACACACTGTCTTACTGTTTGAATTCATTGCACATTCTCCCCCTCTGTTTGGTTTATTGCAGGATGGCAGAGGCGCCGATGTCGTGTGATTGTTTCGTTTCTTTGCCTCCTGGCTCTCGCGAAGACCAGGTTATTTTTGGGAAGAACTCAGATCGTCCCCGTGATGAGGTACAAGAGGTTGCCTACTACCCAGCAGCATCTCATCTTCCTGGCTCCATGCTCCAGGTAGAATCCCAGAGCTGGGACAATGCTGACTTTTTGCACAGAAGTGCACCATGGGCCATTTCCTATTTTCTAATGGTTCTTATTGTGACTCTTTTATCCACAGTGCACATACATCCAGATCCCACAGGTGGAACAGACTCATGCTGTTGTCCTCAGCAAACCAGCCTGGATGTGGGGTGCGGAAATGGGAGCCAATGACCAGGGAGTCTGTATTGGAAACGAGGCAGTATGGACTCGGAGGTCCGTTTCTCCTGGAGACGCTCTGCTGGGTATGGACCTGGTGAGGTGAGCACCAAAACATTTTTACTCTTAGAATCACTGAAAGCCATACAGTTGATGAGCTTTTGTCTAGGTTTAAGGTAAAGTTATGTGTGTGTGTCAGTGTCTGATTCTCAAAGCCACAGATTTGTAGATGTTTAACAGCTGTAGTCAGATCACAGCATTTATTCTATTTGTTTTTATATTCAGTTTCTACTTTTTGATGCGCTTGCCAGTTCGGCTGGACTCAGAGTGAGGGACCTAGATTAGGACTAGGGATCCACCGAATTTTTGGCCACCGAAACTTTTCACCGAAAGACCTGAAAAAAGACCCATGGATTGAGAATTGCAAAAACTTGTAAACGCTGAAATTTCAAGAGGGGGTAAAAAATACACTCGTATCTATCAGCAAACGTTTCACTGAGATCTATTTGGAACCCCTGCACTTGGGACTGTACTTGATCCGCGTTATAAAGATCATTACTTGGATGCAGAAATAAAGCAGTGCGCACGAGAAAATAATCCAGGTCACGATGGACGTGGAGAACCCGAGAGTGACCCAATGTCACGATGGACGTGGAGAACCCGAGAGAGCCTGTAAGAGAGTGCCTCAAATAATAATAATCGGTAAGTCATTCTGTTCTGACTTCGTGTTCCTATGCATTAGTTGATTTACTATTACTAATTTATTATTTGATTATTATTAATTTATGCAATTGCAGTTTCGGATTTCAGCCTTGGTTTCCGTATTTTCGGTTTTTCGGTTTCGACCAACGGTTTTAATTTCAGTGCATCACTAATTAGGACCTAGGTCTGCTAGGTTGACGTTGAACTACTTACATACAATACTAAGCTTTTTCCCAGAAGAAATTGGAGGACCTTTCCTGATGGCTGGATATAAAAGCTCATCAGATCATAGCTAAACACTGAACTTTCATGATCCAGGCTGGGGCTAGAGCGTGGTGACAATGCCTGGTCTGCACTGAGAGTGATTACCGGCCTACTGGAGCAGCATGGACAAGGTGGACAATGCATAGAAGATCCAAAGCAGTTCAGCTACCACAACACCTTCCTCCTGGTGGACCGCAATGTGGCCTGGGTTCTAGAAACTGCAGGGACGCTGTGGGTGGCTCAGAAGATCACTGGTAAAAAGATAGAATCTCTGTACCTCTGGATCAAAATGGACCCAAAATATGTGTCGTCTACTGTATAGGCCAACAACCTGCTTCCTTTCCAGAAGGTGTAAAGAACATTTCTAACCAGCTGACAATCAGCACAGAGATCTCTGCTGAGCATCCACAGCTGCGGAGTGAAGCCCGGGCTGAGGGCTGGTGGGACGGTGAGACGGAGTTCAATTTCTCTCAGGTGTTCAGCCCACAGAACCCACCTGCCAGGATGGAGATGGCCAAAAAGCGTTACAAGGAAGGAACCAATCTTCTACAGCAACATGATGGTGAGTGGGGCCCTGATCTAAATAGATAGATACATACATGGATGAATGGAAGGATGGGTGGATGGGTGAATGGATAGATAGAAAGAAGGAAATAAGTCCTTATTATTAAAGGTCAATGTGAATTACGTATGTCTGATATTAACTTTTTGCCAATATCTGATATGCCAATATTTTCCAAACACCTAATTTCCGATTCCGATATCAAACGATATTGATATAGCAGGGCATTGGGCAATGGCAAGTGTTGCTTGCACACTAAGGTGGAGTGTTAAATCAGTGTTTCTCAATCATTTTTTGTTCCCCCCTAGGGGAAAGAATTAAAATTCTATTGAGCGCCAGGTATAATTTATTTTTACTTATCAATATAGATAATAAAATAATAAATAATAAAATAAGCTACAATGCTGCCATCTAGTGACTAGAGGTTGTTTATCGCTCATAAAAAAAAAAACTGATATCAGTTACAGATATTACAAAATATGCTAATATCGGGCCAGCCGATATTATTGGGCATCTCTAGTGTTAATGGGTTTCACAACATGGGTTTCCTCCCAAGGTCGATAAACATGCAGATTGGAATAACTGAGGTCGATAAACATGCAGATTGGAATAAACCCTATTGCTGCCCCTTGCAGCATTTGCCAAAAAATGGCTTATGAAGAACCTGAAGTCTACAGGTCGCATTTCTATTTGAAACATTTATTTTAAAGGATCCAAGAACAAATGTTAAAACTGGAAACACTGTCGTGTGCAGTGATGGCTTGGTGGTTAAGGAAGCAGATTTACAGTAGGTCTGGAAGGTTTCAGGTTTGAGTCCTCCAGCTGCCAAGTTACCCTGAGCTGCTCTGAGCATGGCAAAGACACTGCTCCCTGGGTGTTTAAGTTGTCTTCTGCTCACTTGGGATGGGTGATGGGTAAAATGCAGAGGTCACATTTTGTGGTGTGCTGTGTCACAATGACTTTCTTTCCTTATTTTACATAATACCCTATAGCAGTAATCCCTGACCTTTTTGCGCCACGGACCAATTACCATAATTTCTGGACAATAATTTCTGGACACACTTTGAACCCTGTGGCTTAAAAAAGGATGCGGCCAATTTATGGATTTTTACATGTTAATGAAGTTCACACTGCTAGTGATCAATGACTTTTCTGGTAAGCTACTGCGTCTTATACTAGTAGTGTATGTCCGTCTGTGAATGGCGGTGTGCGTATACGTCAGTGGAGCGCGCAAGAAAGAGAAGCGCAGAGCCTTGTCGTGTTGAAGCGTGAGTTGGTTATTTCCAATTTCCCTGTTTCTGTTTACCTCTGCTGCGGACAAGCACAAAGTGAAGGGAGCTAATGTTAGCTTTAGACCTGGAGCAGATCACTAAGTCCCCTGTGCATTCTAACCACTGTCGGGGCACAGAAGCAGGAAAAGAGCTGTGTTACAGGCACTGTTCGGAAAAAAAAACATTTATTTAATTAAAAGTGGAAAAAAATCTTTTTGTGTAAATATCCCATGTTACAACGTGGACACCTGTGGTTTATAGAAAAGGGCTGCTTATAAATGTACTTTTTTGTTTTCTTAAATTTAGGCTGTGGCTCATATTCAGATGTGTGCACAAAACTCTGGAAAACATGGTAAATGTATGACAATTTGTTCATGGACCGGCCTTTAAGGTGTGGCAGATAAATAACTAAAACTATGAAATGAAATGAAATTATATGACTGGCATAAAAACTGATATTTTCTAAATATAAAAAAATAAACGTTAAGCTAACTTCATTAGCGGCATCCTCGTAACGTCACACTTGCCTTTTAATGCAGAACGCTTGCTCTCCCGGTGGTGAAGAAGTTTTAAAGGCTTCATTGCTTCAATAGAGAGCCACTCGCCGCATATTATGCAGCACGGGCTTTGTGTGTGGGAACAACCTGTTGCATATTTCAAGTAGGACTCCCGTAATTGTCTGTTGAATGGAGCTTTGTTTTTCTTTGAATACGTGGACTCTTCTGTTTCCTCACTGGCTCGCTCGCCCTGCAAAAAGAACCTCTCCAAAGACTTTTTTTGTTTATTTTGCTAGCGTTGAGTTTCAACTTAGCGGTGTATTATGTGTTACTGGCCGGAGCAGACCCTTTAAGAAGGTAGCGGATTTAGGTAAGACATGTGACCAAGTCACAGCGATGTAGAGAATCTGGTAGTTTCTCAAAATAAACCATTGTTCAGCATCAGATAATAAATAAAATGGAAATAATGTACGTTATGTATTCTTTCTGTGTGGCCAGGAACCCAATGAACCTCGGACCACTGTCGGCCCGCGGCCCGGTGTTGGGCACCACTGCCCTACAGAATATTGCTAAATACATCAGGCTACAGACCGAGTGCAACAAGTCACCACTATTTTTCATCACTGAATCAATTCATCATCAGTGTTGCTTCTAAAATCTTTCTCCCAACTCTGGAGTAAGATGAAGACGAAGCTCCATCTCCTCTTCCGCTGGGTTATTGTTAGAGTTACCATCCGCATCATTTCGAGTCTTTGAGGAAATCTTTAGTTTTGTCAGTTTTTCAGTGGTCGAGTAGCAGTGTTCTGGTGTCATGAGTGTAAATGGTGCCCTCTTCTGGTCGTTGACTATATGAAGTAGGGGTTGATGATGATTGTTTTCAATACTCCTGTCTTTTTATTCTCTCCTCTCAGGCTCCGTTACAGCTGAAGTGATGATGTCAATTCTGAGGGACAAACCCAGTGGCATCTGCATGGATTCTGGCGGTTTCTGCACCACAGGCAGCATGGTGTCTATTCTGCCCAAAGACGCCAACTTGCCTTGCATCCACTTCTTCACCGCCACCCCAGACCCCTCCAGGTTAGTCCCTGATAAGAACTAAAGGTTTACACTGCACTAAAAAGAAACCATCAAGTGGTGTGAGTAAAAGTGCTATTTTGCACATCATATTTACTGCTTGGTACTAGTGATGTTCGATACCACCAATTTCCTTTCCGATCCGATACCGATTAAAATTCGGGCTGGTGTCGCCGATACCGATATCGATACCGATATTTTATCATTTGTCTTTTAAATAATATAAAAAAAAGTGTATTTCAAATCATAGCTTCTTAAATAATCCAAGGCAGAGTTTATTTATTTATTTATTTTAAAGTGTACTGAGGTAGCTGCCTCATTTACTATACAGTCAACACAACAATAGAAAAACCTGAGAACACAATCATATAAAATATGTCAAAACAATGTTTCAAATTCTGAAAACATGTTATTTGTAAAAAAAAATAATAATAAAAAAAATAATCTGAGGAGCCATTTGGGACCCGAAAGAGTCGGATTTTTTCAGTGAACCGAG